CAAGTTAACCCAATGTAAACCATAGAATAAGATATAAAGAATTATTCAGACACACAATGAATGATAATAAAAGCGTACAACCTGAAAAAACTACGAAAATAACAAAATATTAGAAAAAACAACACCCCTATATCTAAACTAATATAAACCTTAGAATACTATTAATTATACAAAATAATCACAAAAAAATAACAAATTCAATGAACCCAATGCTATGCGGAAGTATGGTAAAGTATTGCCGAAAATTGCAAAAAATACATTATCATTACCATTTATAAACAAACATCAAAATAAACCTAATTACTTAATAACGGAAGTAATTAATGATTGTAAAACATTCTATATTTTTTATTTTACCTTGCCTGTTAATTATAAGGCTGAGGATAACGAGGTAAGGTGAGGAATTACTAAAATATTTTGGTACTTACACCAGCAATCCAGATGTCAGTGGTCCGGCAGAGTCTATGACACAAGGATAAACAATGATATATATTTCAAAACATAGAATAGAATACCTAACCAGCTTCAACATAACTATTTGTCATATTCAAGTTACATTAATTTCATAAAAAGATATTTATTCACACTACAAAATATAGAAAAATGTAAATAAACAACAATAATGACATTAAACCAATATAAACCATTAAATAATATATAAAAATATATTTAAGCACAATACAAGCCATAAACAAACCAAAAAAAAATCAAAACTGCAAAAAAACAGCAAAAATACCAATATTTTCACATACCCAATACACCATAATTTAACATAAACAAACCTTACTGCACCATAAATTAAGAAATATTAATAATAAACAAACCGTAAACAATCCATAGAACACAAAAAAAATTACAAAATAAGTCCAAAATACTACAAAAGGGGATGCCGCTGCTAAGGCAATCTCCCCGACCACCAAACTAAACAGGTCAGCCACCCAGCCAGCGGGCGCTCGCGCTGTCTCCTCGCTGAGTCTCACTCTCTTGCTGAAGCCGCGTGGTTTCTCATTTTTGTCAGCATCTGTCGCAGGTTAGAAGGGATGTGAAGGCCCACCACTGCCTCCTGAGCGCCCCGTCTTGCTAGCGTGTCAGTGTGGTGGAGTCTGTGTGTATGACAACATTGTAGCTGTGTGAGGTGTGTGCGTGTTGTAATGCCATGTGTATGACTGCCAGCTCTGTTTGTGTGGAGGAGAAGAAGTCTGTAATTCTGACAGCTGAGGAGGTGGTGGGTACAGGTGTCTCAGCTGTGTTCCTCACAACACAGACGAAGGCAGCACCAGCCTTGCCTGTCCTTGGATCAGTGGAGCCGTCTGTGTAGTATTCGGCCGTGTTGGGGAGTCGTGCTTCGTTGTTAGTTTGCAGGCCCTGTTGTTTCAGCACGACAGGAGTATTCATCAGTAAACAGGTGAGGTTAGGTTAGCTGCGGTGCCACATCCATTACTAAGCCGGACCAAATACCATACACACTCGCTAATGCTATATACTTTATATAGTATTATAGTATATATAGTATTAGTATAGTATTATAGTAGTATAGTATATAGTATTAGCGAGTGTGTAGGCTATTTGGTTCGGCTTAGTAATGGATGTGGCACCGCAGCTAACCTAACCTCACCTGTTTACTGATGAATACTCTTGTCGTGCACCGCGAAAACTCAACACCTCCGAATCTCATGATAATTGTTTCAATGATGTCTTAGGTCATGCTGAACACGAATCTGGACTTATTTTCAATATAACTATAATATCAATGATACATTAGTCATATACGGGAATGAAAGGGAACACAAACAGCAACAGACCCTAGGGTGGTCCCTGCATATATTGTTTTATTATGGTGTTGGAGAGGGTTTTGATTTCCGACACCAGCACTGCTACATCATGTGTGTGTATCATTCACCATGGCCTGGAGGATCACGCGCTAGACTCGTGATCGCTGTGCCATGTGATTCTGATACCATACCGTTACCATCACCTCATATTCATTATTATTATTATATTATTTATTCATTATGGTAATGGTGAGGGTGTAGGAAGGATATACAAGTAAGTACGGTTAAGTTACTCTTGTTGTGCACCGCAGATTCACAATCTCACAAGCTCTCTCTCTCCTCTCTCTCCCTTCTCTTTTCTCTCTTCTCTCTCTCTAGCCTCAAGGAAGGGAGGTAAGGAGGAAGGAAGATAAAGGGGAGGCAGCAGAGAACATCAGGTACTTCGGCATATTAGTTGGCTCTATTAGTTGACCTATATTTTTTCCAGAAATTATATAGATCTATCAGGGAATTGACTCTGCAAACCTCGAGGCCTAAAATTACAGAAGCTTTCCCCTGCAGCAAGATAGAATAGTTACCGTATGATTATTTCTTTTAACACCATTACTACCACTATTTACTTTCCTTAATGTTACCTCTTTACGTTCTCTCAAACCTCACATGACAAACTCTTATAATACCATTTTGAAACTGCATTCACCGAAATTTAGGGACCAACCTTAGTTAGTACACTTATTGGTCATGCCTATAGCTTAGTTAGTTGGCGTCTATTGACTTTCCCCACTAACGAAGAAAAAGGTTTCATCATTCAAAATACAATAATAACATCTTGAAAAAATATACTATCAATAAGAATTTCATATACAAATATAATATAAAAATTCACATCTCAACAAACTCGAAAACAAAATACAAACACCTTATAAAAACACACCAACAAGAACTAAAACATGTATGTATGGAAGCGAAGTGAACCTAGTATATACAGCAAACACAATCACCTCCACACAAGCTAGACCACTGTAACTCCAGCTTACCAGGACCACAGGAACCCACAGCAACACACTCGCCAGGACACATTTTCTTTTCACAGGTGGTGGGGGGATAAGAAGGGTAAGTGGTGACGGGCGGGTAAGAGGTGACGGACGGGTAAGAGGTGACGGGCGGGTAAGAGGTGACAGGGTAAGACGTGAAGGGCGGGTAAGAAGTGACAGGGTAAGAGGTGACGGGCGGGTAAGAAGTGACAGGGTAAGACATGAAGGGCGGGTAAGAAGTGACAGGGTAAGAGGTGACAGGGGAGGTGACGGGCGGGTAAGAAGTGGCGATGTAAGGATTGTCTGTGGCGAGGTAAAGGTTGCTAGTAAGGACGTAAGGATTGCTAGTAAGGACGTAAGGATTGCTAGTAGGGACGTAAGGGTAGCTAGTGGTGAAGTAAGGCTGGCTAGTGGTGAAGTAAGGGTGGCTAGTGGTGAAGTAAGGGTGGCTAGTAGTGACATACGGACGTGTAGGAAAGTAAGGATTAGTAGACACATAAGGGCGAGAGGTGTAAATATAGGTAGTCTCAGTGCATGAAGTATACAAATCTGGATAGGTAGGAGAGGTTACAACAGAAGTGACAGTGGTAGTGGTAGTGACAGGGATGGTCGTGGTTGCAGTAGTGTTGAGGGGTGTGTGGGGGATGTGTCTGGTGGTGTGCGGGTGGTGTGTGGGTGGCGGCGTGTAGTGCCGTCTAAGATGTCCTTGGAAGGGGTGGTGTTACTGCTAGTGGCACCTTCCTCGCTGGCACTGTTTTCTGCTTGGCACTTGTCGCTGATCTGTGGGAGGAAAGACTTTGGTTTTATTGTGAAGGTAAATATTCTAGTTATTCATCTACGTTCAACAGATTTCAGGTTTAGCGGACTCCATATATATATATACTAACGGACAGACGGACAGGATCACTCAATAAGTCCGCTGCTTCCAACATCTGTCCGTTAAACACTATATTTTGATGGCATTATTATTTTCTAAAGCTATGTGATGCCTATATCCTATAAATAAGTAAGGTAAGTGAAATAATCATTGTATTTTATAATAGTATTGCTTATAATGTGGTAATCTGTGTGCAATATGAAAAATACTGGTATCTGTCTGTCCCTAAAAATACCAAACAACGGTCATTTTTAAGTAGCGGACAAATTGATGCAAAATTTAACCTGTTGAAACCAGGTCTGACAGTACATATTTCCATTTATTCATTCTTTCATTCATTTGTATAAATAAAAATAATTCAATAACAATTCACAAGGTCCTTTCTCCCACCTCTTGTTCTGTAAGAGAGTCCTGCAGAGGAGGGGATGATGGTGGTGATA